AATGGCCCTTGCTATACAGCGTTGCTTTGTTTGTCCTGAGCTTGCCAATCCATTTTCTTATTAAAAAATAATAATGAGATTGTAAATTATATGATGATTGTGAGCCTTTAGCCGTGATCTACGTGTCTGAGAAGAAACAGAATCTTGATTTTATGTATGAACCCTGTAATTGATATGTGTAGTTATTTCAGAGAATTTTAACAAGTTTCGTAGCTTAATATGCTGATAAATTTATTAAAGATGTATAGATTATAAAATAGTGTTTTCAATGCTTTACATCAAGCAGATACTGTGATGTTCGACTGAAGTGAAGTGTGTGGGTTGAGAATGCAGTCTGTCTTTTGACACCAAGATTTTTTTAAAAAAATAATGTAGAAAGCGATAGTTTTATTGTCTTGATAATACAACCTGTCAGGAATGAAATAAGGTTTGTAGTGTATTGTGGGTTTTACTCTTGCGTTAAAGTCTGTAACATGCCATATCAAGCAGGTGGAACGGAACTACTGATACCATCTTTTACTCTGATAATCCATTTCTTTGACCTTGACTGGCTTTGCATCGAAATGCTTTTTCCGATCCCCCCTTTTTTTATCATGTTCATGTCATTCTCATTTCCTTTTCAGTGTTAGCGTTGATGTTGTATTACTGGAAAAAATATTTTATAGTTCATAGGTTTAAAATTAATTTGTCCACGTTTCCGTAAAAAATGTGCTTCGTGGTACATTACAGGTTTCTCTGGCTCAAGTATGAGTTCTTATTATCTAAACAGGTTCAAATATAACTCTTTTTTACAGCTGGGTTTTGAATAATATAGTGGTGTAGAACAATATATGTATAATATAGTATAGAACAATATATGTATAAAGAAAATTGAAATTTTCTTCTTTTTCCTAGTTTTGTTCTAGTCTAGTTCTAGTTACAAGTTCTAATTTCTTGAGAAATTATGAGGAAAATATATTTCCGGTATCTTAATTTTATAGTATAATTATTGTAGTTTCACGTATACTTACGTATTGTACTTTTACGTAGTTTGCGCCTTCTATTCGCCAGGTGGATGTATAAACATAACGAAGAGGAAATATATATATTTATATAGTATATAATTATAGCGTGTTTCTTCCTACCTGATTTCTGTTCTGTCTGCAGGGTGAATCTTCGATTCGTCCTTATCAGTATTATCTAACATGATACAAAACAAAGCACATATATATCGCAATAACAACTATATAAGGTTTATTGGTTTGATGACCGCCTAGAGCAGCGAAAAGAGAAAGGTGCCAGGAAATCCTCTCTAGGAATATTCTGTATCATTACTAAATCGCATAATTTGATCGATCTGAGAGGAGGAAAAATTTTTGTTCGCAGCGAAAATTATGCATGGATCTTGTGTAAGTTTTGCTAGCACTAAATATCAAACGTAGACACGTTTTTCAGTAAGTTTACGTTATTGTATATACACAAGTGATAAAAATAGACCAGTGTCTTTATATATTTTACGTACTTATTAAGTAAATAACTTTTATCGTTTGCTAGTTTTTTAAACGGATATTATCTGAAAATGTTGCCATTATATTTACTTAAAAACAACCGGCGTTTATGTAACATCTGCAGTTTAACTGAGTCAGCTGCATCTATAAAATACCGATACAGTAGGAACAGTGAATAGAAGACTTTTTAAAGCTTTTTTTTTTTAGCCTCGAAATGGCATTTTGCGCCGAATCATTTTTCAGATTGTTACCACCAAATATTACTGCCCTGTATTATATTGAAAGAAACTAAATAATGAGGAATCTGCGTGAATGTATTTGTTTTTCGCATTGTGAGAAAACAACGGTTCCTAGAATCGTCAAATTCTGAATAACATACTCTCCCATTCGAACATGGTAACCTGGAAGCCCGAATTTGGAATTTGTTTGTTTTGAATTTCGAATTTGGAGTTGTCTATTTCATATTTTGTAAAACGGAACGAATTTTTGATTAAGAAATTCAACGATTTCAAAGCGAGCAGTGGCGTCACTGTAAGGAATAAAACATTTTTATCTCCATTTTCCCCGTATTTTATCTTCTCTGTCAGGAAATTCTAAAGATATGCTGGGTTTAAAATATTTTTAGTCAAATGTGGCGTTAGCCGAAATGCTCTGGAAACATGTTTGTATCTGTAAATAAAAAACACGCCCGTTTGATCGTAATATTTAATATGAGAGCCTTCAGATTTTATTTTTATTTAATTATTTGTTATTTAAGAAAGGACAGAAAAATATTAACATTGCAGAATATTAACAAGGATCAAGGCATTTAAATTTACGAAGCACTAAGGCACGAAGCCTTTATCTCCATATCATCCAAAATTAAAATTTATCATAATCAAAAAAAGGGGTTCATCTAATAGGTTAATTATTTGGAAAAGCCAAAATAAAAAGTTTTAAAGAGAAGTGCCTTCGCATGAGGAAAAGGTTGAAAACTCAAGCAGGACTTTTTAATTAAGTGCTGCGTCGAAAAATTAAGGACCAGAATCAGTTTAGAACCAGCATATCTTTAGAATTTCCTGACAGAGAAGATAAAAATACGGGGAAAATGGAGTTAAAAATGTTTTATTCCCTACAGTGTTGCCACTGCTCGCTTTGAAATCGTTGAGTTGAGAAGGGATGGTCATCATCATAATTTAGAAAATAAAAATACAACATGGAATATTATCAATGAGGCTTATGGATTTACGATTTTGCCATCTGGTTGCCTGGGCATTTTCATGGTTTTCCCTTTTTTGTCACATGGCTATGATCCAATTTTCCCTAAGAAAGTCCTCCACATGGACAATGAATCCACATAATGCATATTCAAGATAATGCCACAATGTTCAAGCGATGAAAGGTTCCGTTAACGATGCGGCTAAGTGGCGTCTTTTCAAGCCAGTGGTCAGTACTTCCTTTCGTCACGCGTGCAGTAATGTAGCGGATCAAATTTAGTCTCGTGAACATCCGACTTAACCTTACAATCTGGTGCTGTAAAACACAGCTTAACTCCCAATATGTGTGCTGCTATCATTTGCAAACCTTATGCCATTTAATGGTTACACCAACTTGTTAATTTGTTACTCGTTTTCACCATTTTTCTTATTATAAATGCGTAGAGAAGAAATAGAAGAAGTGCTTCCGTATCCTCGTGTAAGGGATCGTGTAATTGCGGATAACACTGAAAACTATACGTAATATTTTTGCATGGAACTGGTTCGCAGAGTTCTCCATCACTAAATCGTATGGGTAAGAAAATTTGAAAAAAAAATAACAGCTCTTGCAGGCAAGGTAAAACAGTTATAAATATCCCAAAGAGAAAAAAAATGAAAATATCAAAATTTTCCTCAAGCAAGTCGCAATCACTAAAATCACTTTCAGAGCAAAATCTAAGGTCCTAATCATCAAGCTGGAATCGCAATAGTGTAAATACACCCACAATTTTGGATTCAACTCACAATGGATGCTCACAGCCTCCTATTTATAGACATACTCAAGGGGATGAAGCACTTTTGGAAGCTTCTAGAAAAAGCGCTATTAAGAGATCCGAAAATTTATTTTCTGGGAACCAAGAATCCATGTTGACGAGAAATCGCCATAGGGCGTGGTTGTTCCTCCTCCCACCGCCCATACTTCTGGTTATACTTGAGCTATCCATACAATTCATACAGAAAAGAGAAATAAAAATTTCACAAAATAATATTTGAAATAAACGTGTAAATACACTAAGTAGCAGAACATCATCATCGTGGTCAACACATCTGCTACTATCTTTGAAAGGTCAGGTTTCTTCGGCAGTCTATGCGACTTCGTTGGAAGGCACGTTTGGATAATTATGTTGACTTGAGCATCTGTTGCGATAATTCTGTTCTTGTTAGCAAGTTATAATGAGTTTAAGAGGCTTCCCTTACGAACCACCTGTCGTATTTGCTAACGGCACCTATTCAGATCATGTATGCCTACGTTCAAGATCATGAGGAATTCAAGTGTATTTACGGTAAGTACACTAAGTAGTGTAACACTTACGTTGAGCTATTATATTAGACACAATAAATTCCTTACTACTGTCCGTCTTGAGTCGTTTCTGTATGTTGTATCTTTCTAGCATCATCCTGTGACATTTCTGCTCACACGTATATCTATGGGAAAATGATTCATATCGATGTTCTCTACATTTCCTCAAAATTTTTACCTGGACTTTTGAGATGGCTACATGTATTTAACTTCCTCACGATCTTGACCAATGCAGATGTATGCTCCGAACTGGTGCCCTTACCAGATAAGACTGATAAACGAGGTTCATGAGGGTAGATTTTTCTTCGGTTCTCTCTTCATTTCATTATAACTTGTTAACAAAAATCGCACTGGAAGTAATAATATACATTTTGCTAAATCAAACACGTAAAAACGCCTGCATCTCCACTCATAATTTAACTGGGCTTCATAACTTAGTTACCGGAGAGGTCTTTAAGATCTTCAACAGCTTGTTAGTAACGATCGCACATTTCTTCGCCAAGGAGTAATAAAAATTTGCAATTATTTTGTTTTCCATTTCTTGTCTGAGACGCATAGATGCCATAAACTGGTAACTATAATTCATTTCGGTTTATATAATTTTTTATAATCTAGAGAGAGAACATAGTGAACTATTGAGTGAATCAGATACAGTGAACAACACGGTGAAGAAACAACACACTGAACAACAGTGGATCAACACCGTGAACTTTCTTGTTACGATCCTCCTGAAAGTAATTGGTATTCTTCATAATATGAATACATAGTGGTACTGGATGTAACATCTCTAAGATAACCATTTCTACAGAAGACCCAAATCATTTGGAACCGTGGATAGTCTATCCTCATAGAAGATGGTTTGCTGTAATTTGATATGCGAATAATTAGTCTGTATTTTTATGAATGGATGTATTTTTTAAACCCTGTTGTAGAACTCTGAAATATTTTTTAAGTATTTAATCCAGTTTTCTTTAACAGATCCAGTCAAAATACGATCCTGCTTTGGCAAGCCAGGTACTCCTCTGGATGAAAGATGTCATGGGACTTGAAGATATAGATACCTCTGGAGATAGGGATGCCTTCTACAAGCTTCTTAAGGATGGGCAAGTTCTGTGCAGGTAATTTATTTCATTTGTAATAACATCCAGAGGGAAAAAAAAACCTTTCATATTATATTTGCTTATATTAGATATTTTAAGAGGCAGTGAATTAATGTAAGTATTGCTTAAATGATGTGTTTATTCTCTATCAATAACAATATAGATTATGGGCCCAAATGTACTGGAGAATAGATGAATGTGGTCCATGGTATAGAACATTCGGTTTTATTTCTCTTAACATTTATTGTAATTCATAAATTACATGATGATAATAATTTTATAATATCTGAATAGACAGTGAAATATGACATTGATACAACCGCGGAAGTGAAACGATTTTTAAATAGAAACAGACGAAATCTAAATTTTATCAGAGTCCAAATCTTAAAAGGTTCTCGAATGAATTCTTCAACGAAAGAAGAAAAGAGAACTTTTATTAAATAAAGCATATTTAATAAATAATGAAAAAACAGTTTAAGATCAGAAGTTTTAAAAATACTCCTATACCTAACAAAATATGAATGATATTCATTAGTATACAACAAACTCTTGAATCTTAGGTTTATTTTCTGTATACTGTGTTGGGAATTGGGACCGAATATTTGAGTTTTTAAAAAATTCCGTGAAACTTTTTAAATTACAGCAAGGATAGATGAGAGAGGATTATTTTTGCTGTAAATTCTATTTAAAAATTTAAAAACATTGAAATTTATTTTAAGAGTGTGTAAATGCATATTGTAAGCTGGCAGTTAGACCCACCATTGGTAAAGCAGGACTGCTGATGTTGCTGCAGTCACATTCCTTTTTAAGTGAAAGTTATGTTTTATCATACATCAAAAAATGAAATCTTCCAAAGTTTTAAGTTTAACAATGATTTAGGTACGAATCTAAGACTAGTGGAGTTTTTAAATGTCGAACAAGATTTTAACTGTTTAAGGATTCGATTATCTCATCTTTAATTAAAACTTTTTAATTTTAGACGTTTATTTTCTCAATCTAATTTGATATTTGAGTAACAGTTTAAATTTTATTTTTTATCAGAATCCTATGAATTTAGATATTAGAATCATATTTATTATTTCTTAACGCAGGTCTCATCTTTGGTTCTCTCAGTGATCTTTGATTTAATTTGATATTTGAGTAACAGTTTAATTTCTTTTCCTTAATCTTTTGAACTTGGATATTAGAATTATGCATTTTTGATTCTTTAAGCAGTAAAGTATGGACTTGGATTTAGACTTTATAATTGACCGAGCTATTACGAAGAGCAATGTTGCTGGTTCGAGAATTAGAGCCCAAGGGCACTTGACGTAAAGAAATCCGGACGTGGAGAAAATCTCAGATGAGAAAACGGAGATAAGGGGAAGAAGAGAAGTACCAAAAGGAGCAAGACAATCCAATCAGACAAGTTCGCAAAACGTGACGAGCGATCATAGCTTTCAAGGAGGACCCAAGACAATGTAAATCAATGACAACAATATGAGAAGATACACTACAGCATTAGTTCCAATGACAAATTCAAATACAATTAAACAACCTCAATCAGTAGTGCTAAATACAACATAATACAAAACAACTATACAACACAATTTAAATACAACAATTCAACGAAGCTACAGAAGAACTTCAATCAAAATGAGATGTATTGGAAATATAAACAGCTACCAATTGAGGATCTAAGTGAAAAAGTTGTCTCTCCCCATGAAGGTGTGAGCTGCAAGTGGTCTGACATTTCTATCTTCGAAGAGAATTTTATAATTAAAGACTTGGGAGTAATTAACAAAATCACATTGCACAGCTTTGTTGAAGAATTTTCCATTAGATATTCTGATGTAATCTAGAATCGTCTCAAGTTTTAAGTCTCTGTGTAAAAGTTTATTGCGGATAAGATAGTGTGAATCAGTAATAATGCACAGAAATTTGTTTTGCACTACTTGTAATTGATGCAGTTGAGTTTGAGTGACCGTGTTCCAAACAGGAGCAGCATAACAAAGTATCGGTCAAATGCAAGTGGTATATATATGTTTTTTGGTACGCAAGCTAAGATTTGAATATTTTCCAATGACCGGGAGAAATCTGCATATTATGCCCATGGCTTTGCTCTTGACACTATTAATGTGATTAGACCATGTGAGCCTTTGGTTCAAAATAATTCCTAAGTATTTGGCCTTTGTGACCAGAGCAACAGCTTCCTGAAAAAGGTAGAGATCTTTAAAAGCAATGTTTTTCTTAGTTTTGCTAAGAATTAAAAGTTGTGACTTGCTAGCATTGATTTTACTCGCGCCAATTTGTGCACCAGTCTTCTACGGCATAGAGGTAATTTTGCATTTTGTCTATTGCATGATTAGCTTGGATGGATTTAATTGCAATCGCCGTATCGTCGGCATAACATGCTAACAGAGAGTAATTGTCTAAACCAGGGTGAGGAAAATCTGATATGTAGAAAAGATATAGTACTGGACCGAGAATACTTCCTTGTGGGATGCTGGATCTTATAGGTCTTGAATTGGATTTTTCATTTCCTTGAGTGATGAAGAAAGTGCGGTTTTGCAAAAAGGACAAGATCAGAAGAATGAGTTCTCTAGGAAGTCCCAAGTTGATAAGCTTGAAGACGAGCGCCTCATGCCAGACGCGGTCAAAGGCTTTTGCCACGTCCAGCATAAGGAGTGCAACACTTTGCTTGTTATGGAATGCAGATACCACAAATTCTTACTAGTTGTCGAGTAGTACTGAGGTTTTTTCTGAATCCATACTGATCATTAGGTAGCAGGTGAAGAAAAGGTTCCAATCTAGTGAGAATAAGTCTTTCATAAATTTTATCAAGGCTGGGTAACAAACTGATAGGATGATAGCCATCAGTCTTGGTCACATCTTTACCCGGTTTGGGAAGAAGAAAGATCTTGGCTTGCTTCCAAGGATCAGGGAAATAGTTGAGAGTAGGACAAGCGTTGAGAATACTAGCGAATTTACTGATAAGTTTTCTAGGTAAAGTTACGAAGCATTTTATTAGTAATTTGATCACTTCCAGGTGCTTTTTTGATGTTGAGATATTTAATAATATTAGTAATTTCCATAGGAGATGTAAAGTATGGCAGTTCCAGTATTCGATTCATTATAAGATTTAATATTTTATTACTACTGGGTATTGCTATTGAGATATTGTTTTATTTGCAATTTGAGTGAAGTGATATTAACAGATCGGGTTTAATGAAATTGCAACATTCATAAACACTTTTGTTAAATAAATAAAATTTTGGATTCAGATACTGGAAAAAAGTGCGAAGATTCGAGTTTTCAAATCTTTCAGTTTTTATAGGATTTCAGGATGCACATGTCCCATTGTTACTAATTACCTTAAGAGATTATGATTAATTTGAGCACTGTTTAAAATAATTTGTGCCTATTATTAACCATGGGAATCCCACATGTGAACACAAAATACAGCATTGCATAGTAGATAAATGTAGTTCGCTAAACAGGATCTTTGATTTTATTTCATTCTAAATTTACTAACTCCAAAATTATTAGATAATAATTACATATCTTAATAGACAGTGATCAATGTTTTACTCTTTGAGTGTGTTAAATAAATATGAAAATTTAAAAAGAAATTAGATTGATGATTACTTTCTGTATTTGATCAAACTTTCAAATTTAGGATTATATTTAAATTTTATTACTAGAGTTATGTTTTCCTATGAAGTATTTTATGGTTAAAAGAGGGTATTTATACACAGGGAAATGTGACAGCATGAGTTGATAAAGGAATATCAGTGAGATGTGAATAGGAATAGACAGTAGAATGCTGTTTAATTATCATGCAGATTTGTGACTGATGCTTGTTATTTAGAAAACATTCACAAAAAATGTTAACTGAAAACTGTATAATATTAATCTGTCTTTTGAAATTTTACTTTAGGTTGATTAATGTACTGCAGCCAGGCTCCATTCCTGAGAAGAAAATTAATAACAGCACAATGGCATTCAAATGCATGGAAAACATAAATCTTTTCTTAGAACAGGTAAACTGAATTTGGGCAGCAATTTCTCTCAATACTTTGAAAACCCAGTTTGCTTGTTTATATTTATTTAAAGGAGCAGTTCAGTTGTTAATAAACTATAAGAGATTTTAGGTATTTGAATTCATTTTTTTGGTTTTTGTTCTGAGTAAAAGTTGTAATAATTTTTTTTTTTAAATTTTGAAAAAAAAATCATTCAACAGTTTGGCATCCAGTTTATTAAATGTATATATATTTATTTATGATGGAATAGATGAGATGAGGGAGGAATAGTTTAAACTATTTTAATTTTGTTTCACTGTAAATGACATTTTCATTTTGAGAAAACTTTTAGCTGAATTGGAAGGAAATGTACACACAGTTTTTAAATTAATTTTTATCAGAAAAAGTTCAGATTATTTGCAATATAACGAATGTGTCTTAGAATGAAAAATATTACAAAATTCAACATTTTACAATATTAATTTTTATTTCCAAGATTGTGTTATTGTGTGTGGCTTAACAAATTCAAAATATTTTTTGAAATTGTTAGTCACACACAAAAACACAATTCTTCAGTCATTAGTACCGGTATGATTAAAGTATTTGTGTTTATATTTTTCGTAATTCTGTAGTAATATTTCTTGGAAGCTGCTTTGCATTTTGAAGTTCATGTGCTATTAATGATATGCAAGAAGGAACATAAAAATTTTTGTGCTAATTTTCATTAATGTCGCTAAAATATCTGTTTGAAATAAAATAATAATAATCTTAAAAAATAAAAACAAATATGGTTAATGTTAATTGTGGATCTAACGATTTCCTTCCACTTACTTTAAAAACTTATAAAGATTTTTTTTTCTTTTTGTGTGTGAAGAAAAATATTTTCTTCCTAAATTAATTTGCATGAGACAGTTTTTATATGTATGTATAAAATAAGATAGTTTACATTTTTATTGACTACAGAAACCATTGAAAACTTCCATACATTTTTAAGACTGTCTTTTTAAATAGGTGAAGAAACTCGGCGTGCCCGCAGAAGAAACATTTCAAACTGTGGATCTCTGGGAGGCACAGAATCTCACCTCCGTCCTAATCTGCTTACAGTCAGTTGCTAGAAAAGTAAGTCCATGATAAACCTGCATTATGCTAAATATTGAAGTCTTGAAGCTAATGGTAATTATTTTAACATTCTAAAATTAAAATCAATATGATTCCAAGGTTTTTAAAACCTGGAGAATTAAATTTAATATTTTTAACTGGTATTTGAATTTAATATGTTGAAAAGAAAAACTTACAGCAAACATTTTTTTATATCCTATTGTCAGATTATCTTAAATATTTTTGCCAGCTGCACTCAAAATCCATCTGAAAATGTGAAATTCAAAAGATCTAAAGTATTTAGAAAAATACTAACGTGACTGTTTAAGTGCATAAAAAAACTCTAATCACAGATCAGTAAATAACATTGAGAAATATATCCTGTATATTAAATTTGAGTACTTGTAAAAAAAAATAAAGTGATGGCTAAAGATTTCATTTTTTAAATATTATCTTAGACATACATAAAAATTCCTCAAAATAAAGTAGCAGTTAGTATGAAAACAATTTCAACACAGTAGATGGAAGTTTCCATAAATATAAGATCTAAATTTTAATGTTTTTCCCTTGGCAAAAGTTCATTACTTTAATCCTAAATTAAAAATCATTCCATGCCTTTGTGTGTGAAATTTATAGAGCTGTTGGAAATTGGATTTCACTGGCTTAGATCACTTTTTAATGGCCACCAAATTAAACTCTTTAATTTTTAAAGTTATAAGTTTGGGATATTATTTCATAATGTTAAAAGTACATTTGTTAGTAAATTTGTAGCTGGCCCACGGAAATATTAATTTCATGTGTTAAAGTACGGAACGTTTCATATTAAACTTAATGAAGTGGGATGAATAATTTAATGTGAAATCTTATGCCATAGGAATCGTGTTAAAAAGTTGAGAAAACTGTGACAATCTAAGTAATGAAACTATTAAATAATTCTCTAGCATAGTTCAAGAAAGTTTGAAACTGAAAATATATCCTAGTGCAAACATTTCAGGGAATGAAACCAACAGCCAATTTTCGTAATATCCTCTATAGGTATGGTATTCAATAGATAATCATCTTAGATTCCATGATTTTATCCTCAGATATCGCAATGATCCTTGTATGATATACTTATCCTCAGATATTATATTGATTCTTGTTACGTGATGTAATGAATGCATGTTGTGTTGTAGACTTTATAGAATTTATAGAATTGCTAAACTTCCAAACAGTAAAACATTATCTTAAAAACTCTAAAATTGATACTAATTAGCATGCTACTTTTTAGGTCCTAATCATTTGCCAAACACATATGATTGATTAGAAATTGTTCTTTTAATTTATGTAAATGGTGTTAGTTATTAAAATTTGTTTTCGATGTTAGTTATAGAATTCACATTTGCTGAATCTAAATATGACATTTACATTTTACCGGCATCTAGAGAGTCAAACAACTTCATTTGCTTATTTGACAGGGTTCGTACAGTCCTTAAGAGTCTTTAATTTTTTTGGAATCGATTTTTGGTCCTTAATTTTGGCCAAAATCGGCAGAAGGTCCTTAATTTTAATCATATTTGAAATTTCTGTCTGTTTTTTTTCGATTGCGATTTTGAGTGTGAATTAGCATTTTGGAGGAATATTTTTCGCAATTCTCTGACAAATATCGTTATCTTTTGAATGGGTGAATGCGTTCATGGGTTATAAATTGTTTCTATTTCTAATATAAATGGTGGGATAGAATTTCTGAGCAAGAAGTGCAACAGAAGCGTTTCAAAATTATTTCATTTTTTCTAGTGAAAAGCTCTTAAACAACTTTTCGCTTTTGGGGATGTGAATTCTTTTATTAAATTGCTCTAAATTTGGTGACTTAGCAACATTTTGGCAATTTTAAGATCAATTTCTATAGAATATTTTTAATTCCGAGATCTGGGAATTTTTCAACAATTTTTTAGAACATTGTAACATTGATAAATTTCATTAAAATAATGGTAATATATTGTAATTACATTTAAGAAATAACATTATAATAAAGAATTTTTATTTTTTGCTGTTGTATTAAAGTTCCATTTTGGCCACTTATTATACAATATTTTGAATCTGAAAAATAAGCAAGGTATAAATGCTATAAAGCACAATTTACGAAACAGTTCTTAGAAAAAGCAAAATAGCTATGTAATTAATTAAAAATGTCTTTTTAATTTTTTCATGGTAAGAGTTTTCTCGTGTAATTGTCTCAGAATATTCAGAATTCTCAGAATATGCATCAGTTTTCTCTATAAAATTAATTTTAGTTTTCGTTTGATATATATACTTCAAAATATTTATGGCTTTTTGCTATTACTGAATTAGTAGGGGTAATTTTTCTTTAGGATTTTAGGCATTGCAGCTTGGAAAGTTTAGAAAGATTTGAAGGCAAGATTTCTGGAAGATTGTGGTAAATAATTTCTGGAAGATGTGGTAAAATAAAAAATTGAAAAATATCTCCATGGTATTAATCCATAATTCCTTACTTTTTGGAGAATGTCTGGAAGAACAATGAAAACATAATAGTTGAATGTTTTACTTCTGATACTAGAATCTTTTTCTTAACATTTTTATCTTCCCTTTATTTTCTCTTCTTTTCACTAGACACAAGCAAAAATATCAAAAATGCTTCTAATCTTATATGGACAGGCATTGTAGAAAAGAATTTTTTTTATTAATAAAGAAATTGAAAATTGACAATTTAAACGATTCATCTAACATGTCTTAATGCATCATATACAGGGCATTTTCCCACCTGATACAATCTCTGTGGATCCTAAATTCTGCTGCCTTTCTAAATTTTGCTTCCAATGCCTGTTCTAAATTCTAAAATTTTGTCATTTCTAGATTTTGTTGCTCGATGTGTTATTAAATTCTAAAAATTCTGCCACACCAGCTCTCTAACCGGACCTTACCATCTACATTTCATATTTCTTCTGAATGTTCATATCACTAAAGAAATAAAATCAGCAGCCTTCTCTATACATTCTAAATGCGTTTAAAGTTTTTTGAATAAAAAAATCTTTAATTTAATCCAAAAATTCTAAAATGGAAAGGAAACGTGGAAGAAAGAAATCAAATACATTAAGAGAAGGGAAATTATTCTTGAAAGATATGTACAGATATTATTATGTAAATTTACGAGTTGTTTACTATTTCAGCCTTTACTATGATTTCCCATTTCTATTTTCTCACCAGAATACAAATCACTTAGTTTTTAAACTGAGGTTTTTGGAGTGTTGTAAGATAAGAGTGTATTTCTCACCTCCACTTGCTTCCTGCATTAGTTCCTACCAGCTCTGATAATTTGTAATTATTCGTATTTACATTACCGCTGCGGACATTTGAATTTGTTATGATGATAAAGTTACTGAGCTTAAAATGTTACAGCTTAAAATGAAATTAAATTGTATAGTCTTTTATCGCTAGTCCATATTTTTAGTTTGAATTTGATTCTTCTTGTTTAATTACATCATCACGAGCTGTAATTGGTTTATTTAGCATTATAACATGCCTTTATGATCTGAGTTCTTTTTAAATAAGAAGCTTATTTAAATCTTTGTAGCTACTTTCAGACATAGCGATAATTTGCTTCAGATCTGTCCGAAGGGTTTTGGACTATTTAAACCAGGTCAAGTAAAACCTAAACCTAGGTACATTTTGGAGAGGTTGACAAGTTAGGAGCTAAAAACTGTAGAAACTAGTGAGAACATTGTCTTGCATATTGAGACAAAGTTCTAACTGTTAGAAAATATGCTTAAAGAGAAGGAAATGGATATAAATTAGCCAAAATGTCTGTTAAGGCTTCAAATTAAAAAGATGCATAAATATTTTGTTGAGTGCTGTTGCTACAAAACATAAATACTTTGTAGCTTTTAATGTATAATTATCGTAATATTGTTTAAGAGTCAGTGCCATAAATTACATGTATTTTAAACTGTGAAATTCTATTTGATTGTGATTTAATAGGGCTTTTTTAACAAATATTGTTAAAAAATAAAAATTTAACTGCCCATGTAAATCCATAATAACTGAGGTTATCTAACACCTAATTTAATTATAACTAACTGGTCACCTTTAAAAGTTATCTCTGCATTTTAAAGCGAGTTATTGCCTTTCATTAACCCTTCTTGTAGTCACAAGATAAAACACAAAAATGTAAAAATTCATGTAAACCTATTCTTCGCATCTAGTGAGATTTAAATAATGCAAAACAACTTGTCACCTCTGGTGCTTTAGTGGATTATTAAGGCCTTAAACTATATTAATTGAGTTACAACTCCTGGAACTCTACAAGAAACACACTAACTGCATCAGACAGAGTCCAGCTAACTTTCAAAACTTGCGAACCGTGCTTACATCGGGTCTTTTAGGTTTGTTCTGATTAGCAGGCCTCTCTTTAGGCAAGCTGGAGCGGTGACAACAGCCAGTCTTTTGTTTTGAATCATGCTGATTGTAATTTTACTTCTCACTTTATGCCGCTTAACATAAAATCTACTTACTATTTACTAAACCCCTAGACTGAGTATGTGACAAAATGAGACATTAAAAAAATCAACGTACAGCTAACTGTTAATAAAACCTAAATAAAATGTCACTTATCTTTCAAATATGTCCAATTATTATGAGTATAAAATATTTAATGCTGCTTGATAAATTTTATAAAGTTTATTTTATTCTCAAACTTATTAATAATTATGTTTAATAATAATGCATCCGACTTATGGATCTATTTTATTTTTAGGATGGTATTACAAAAGTTCAGCTTGGATAATATTTTTAATTGAATTTATTCAGTTCTCATTTGCTTATAGGTCCTTAATTTTTTCATTAATGGTCCTTAAAAGTACTTAATTTCAGTGTGCAGAAATGTGTACGAACCCTGTTTGAGAAAATTTCTCTTGGACTTATTTTACAGGAACAGCTTTTAACTGTTCAATGTTTAGAAAGTTACAAATATACAAGTTTAGAAAGATGAAGTAAATTTCTGTTGTTCATAAAGTTCATAAAGTTTTACATGTTACATTAACTCACTTCTGAAAAATGGTAGATGATGTAACATTTTTAAAACCAATTTTACAATAAACAAGATCTAAAACTACATAACTATACCTATCACTTTCAAGGGTATATTTTGCAGTACACATAGAAATTTTATATCTAGTTCCTGGAAAAATTTTTGGTTTATTATTTGTACTGTTAGTTAATATTATAAAAATAATATTAAACATTATATACTCAAGTTTTTTTTTTTTTTTAACAGGCATCTAAATTTGGCTTCAAGAGTATTGGGCCAAAGGAGGCAGAGGCAAATGTGCGTCAGTTCACTGAGGAGCAGCTGAAAGCAGGACAGAATATCATAAGTTTGCAGTATGGTTCCAACAAAGGAGCCAACCAGAGTGGAATCAATTTTGGAAACACACGTCACATGTAAAATCAATGAACTTCCAGATTGCTTCCCAAATTTGCTTCCTAAATTATAACTTATTTTAATGTTATTGTTAGTTTCTTGTGAGTTTCAATATCAGTTATGAATTTAAAACAAGTGGTTTTTATAGCTATTTAAAAGTTACATCTGCCAATTCAAATTGTAATTGCCGTGCTATAATCACATGTAATTTTATCTGATATATTATTGATAAAAATTGGAAATGTAATTTAATTAGTATTTAAAACTTTGTCTAAAAATGTTTTATATGATTATACAACTTACAATCACAATGGAATTCTGAATCTTCTTTGCCAGTTTTGTAATGAGTATTTTCTTTGAATTTTACTGCGACAATTTGTTGTGTTTTAGTTTTAAAGTAAAACATTCCGAAACAATTTTATTTTTCATGCGAGAAATGATGCGATATGCTTTACACATAAGCTCCATTTCAATAATATATTCTCAATATCCAGTTTGTATTCATTACTTGATATTTGTATTATAATGTACTTTTAATAAAATGAAATTATGAACTTCTAGGAGACTTTTTTATAAATATTAAGTATAACCTATTTATAAATATGCATGAAACAAGTACACAAGCATTTGCAGTTGCTCAGTTTTAGATAATTTATTTCATTTCACCAAAATGAAATAATTAATTTTTCACATGTAAATAATTTACAAGCGTTTTGGTAAATTTTATTTTCACAGATTAATAGCTGAGAATAAACTGAAATTATACACTATTTTATTTCAAAAATATACTTGAATTTGGTCTCTCAAGAAAGATACACTAACTGCAAATTTGTTTTTGTAGTCAATTTTTTATAAACTAATAAAAGAAAAAGAAATCCAGCTTCTTCTACCTAATAGCAAGCTGGGACATTTACAGACCAGATATTCAATGGTGATTCCCAAACTAATCAATTGTTTTACCAGCTCATCACTCGGATTAATTAAAAATGTCATGGCAGCAAATACAGCACGTAAGAAAGACCAGTTTTCAAGTTTAAAAGAATTTTATTGTATTTGACATTTCACACCACATGTATATTTTTTCAGTTGCATATCAAGGCTGGGTGTTGCCTTGCACACATTTTAATAACTTTCATTTTAGCCAAGTTAAAAATTAGTTTTTTATTACATTTCTTGATAAAAATTGCACTTTATAGCAATTAAAAAAAATATTAAATTTATATTAAATTTGGCAATACTTATTAAAATGATATAAATTTAGAATATAAGTATGTTATTTATTAACTGAATCAGTAACTTATAAGTTGAAATGGATCAAATATTTTTTACTCATTTAATCTAAAATTTGAACATGCATTTTCTTTCCCTCGGGGTTGGGAAAAGGATGTTACTAAATGTATCATCAGTGACTTTGACTCGGTGATGTAAATGTCACAGACTTTTAACCTGTGAACACAACATTAAAATGAAATATGTGTAATGAATGTATTTAAATCTGAAACAACTGTTTACAGATTAAAGAAATTTTAAACATTTGGAGAATTAATTTTGGAATAATTATTATGTAGAAAATACAGGTCATTAATACTGACAGATATTTACAGTGCTTCAGAAATTCTTGAATGATTAACGACTAATCATGGACCATGATTCTGATTGAAGAAATGATTAGTTAAAAATCAATATTGATTTATTAAATTTAAAACATTTATTGAAGACTGTCTTTTTTAAATTTTTTTTTTAAATGAACTGATTCAGGTTGCACATGCCAAACTGTCAGATTTAAAATATCGAGAGAATTTCATACTGTGTGACGATGTGATTCCAAACTCTTGATTTTTAACCTAGCAAACTATTAATTTTGTAGGTGCTATGAAAGGTACTTAAAATTTAACTTTTTAAAATTAGATTTGAGAATTAAATACAAATGAAAAAATTAATGTTAAGAACAAGCATATTTTCTTTATTTCTCATCAATTTTGATGTTGGTTGGAGCTGCTCTTGTTTTTTCATAAAAGGCCAGCTAAGAAACAAGTCAAAACTAAGACATCCTAAATGTGAAAACTTCATTTAAAAATCTGATTTTTTTTTTTTTTTTTTAAATTAAGAATGTAAGCACAGCTATTATACACTGTTATTTAAAATGTAGCACCATGAAGGATAAAAGATAAAGCTGTATTTACTGGGGAAAAAAGTATAAGGTACAAGGGTGATTAAAATTATTTCACTAGCAAAATATGAAGAAAACAGAGTATTGTGTAAACGTCATAGCTGGCACTAATTGATATAACATGTCTTGGCAATGAAAGAAAAAGGCTTCAGATCTGAGCTTAGTAAATGCCAGTTTCATGCTATTCCCACATATTATAAAGTGCATTTGTTTGCTAATCTTCAATCAGATATGTTTGATGGATGGCAAATTATTAGGAGAATGGGTAAGCCAAGGTACCAGTGATCTAGTGGGCAGTGAAGAAAGAGTAACTGTCTTGTTGAAACTTTGCTGCATGCAAGCCTTAGAGATATGAAAGGACACTTTAAGAATTTGAGATTGAGTAGTGGTTGTTGAGTATGGGAATACAATGCAATAGCACCCAAAACCATAATTTCAAATGTTGGACGACCGTGGGGATGGATAATACAGTCATGATGTTTGTCATTATAATGCCACCCAAATACAACTATCATGGTGGTGTATGCAGAATCAAGATTCCTCTGAAAAGGCCATTAATTTGGTCTGTTAAGAGATTTAGTGCATCAGTGCAGCTGTATATGCCTGTGGTGTAGAATCGGTAGCAACTGTAACACGGACACCTAGTAAAAATTTCCTTTCTTGCAATGGATGTACATGTCGACATGAAAAAGTTAACTTGAACAGAATCCTAATTCTTGTAGGGTTCTTGATATTGTTGTGTGATGTATTATTTTCATGTACATAACATGCCTGTGCTCTAATTCAATGGTGTGATGAGGCAGATACAGTTAATTCCCCCCCTCTTCTACTCAACCATTTCATATTTACGTCTGTGGCTTCATTTCATCTAACAAGACTATCGATTTCTCAGAAGGACAATCTGCAATCTAAATGGCAATTTTTCCTCTGCTTAATTAAAAAACTTGCTTAGAATTAAGTTTTCTGTGAAAAAAGGGGGAATATGCAATTTCGGCATTTAAAACAGCCTATTGTTCTTTGCATTTATAAGCCCATCAGTGGCCAAGCAGTTATTAGTTTGAATATAAGTGACTAGGCTGGCCACATGGTTGGTTCTTTCCTTATGTAACATTGAATGTAAGCAAGCTTTCCTTGGAAAGTCCTCCTTCCCTCTTAGGCAGACAACTCTCATGTGTTGTGCCATATTCAAGCTACACTGCTGCCACCGTAAATGCAACACCCTGAAGGAAGCATGCAAGTAACATGAAATTTACATTGTGCATTAGCGGCGGTATGCAAATGATTAGAATTTCAGCGCAGATGCACATCGCGTGTGCCTGTGGCACCACTTCAAAGCGCTATTTAAGGCTTGGCGTTTTAAACGATTTCAAGTTCGGCAATTATGTTTTTCTTGAGTGTTTTTTTTTTAAAGATCAATTATGCCTTGTAGTAAACAGCGATAATCATTTGATCAAGTATCCGAGTTCGACAGAGGAAGGATAGTGGTCTACCGAGAGTGTGGATTATCTTTCAGAGAAATCAGTAGTCGTGTTGGACGAAACCAAACAACTGTAATGCAGATATGTGACCATTGGATGCAGGAGGGTACAACGGACCGATGTGTTCATATGTTCGATCGCATCCACCTCACGTGATGACAGGAACATTGTGCTCATGGCAGTGACGGATCGCTCGGTCACATCATGAACCACAGCACATCCAGTCTAACGCATCATCCAGTGTCTGAACGTACCATTCGACGCCGTTTACAGTAGAGTGGTTTGTCTGCAAGACGTCCATTGCTTCGTCTAGCCGCCAATAATGAGATGAAAGAAGGATGTGGACGGCAGAATGGAATGAAATTGTTTTTACTGACAAGTCACGCTGCAACAACATGATGGTCGGATTCGAGTCTGGAGACACCGTGGAGAGATGATGCTGAACCGCTGAGTTATGCACCACCGCACTGGGTATTATGATATGGGGTGGTATTGAATATCACACTCGCACTCCTCTAATATGCATTGCTGGTACTTTAACTCCTTCACATCCAATTCGCCCCACACGCCCCGACATTGAAACAACCAGAACCGCCCGAAAACGGCAGAGATTGTAATCTTGTTTTCCTCCCTCCCTCTAAGATATGCAGTAGCAGGTGCAGTTTTCCCAAATGCATTGTATCAGTTTACTGCAGACAGCTTGTCCTAAGAAATGTCTTATCTTTTCTTTAATCGTGACATTTTATTGTTATTCTTTTGTGGTACAGTGTGCTTTTAAGCTTTAAACAGCAATAAAAGAGCAGTTTAAGAATTTAAGGATTATATTTTTTAAACAATTTATTCCTTCTTATAAAAATAACAGAAATAAACAAAATCTCAGTCGTGATCATAAGAAAGGCTTGTTGATCTGACCTTCAGAGTAGTTTTATAAAGAACAGGGTCAAAGGCTAATGGAATCTTTGTTAGAAAGTACAAAGGATGTCATTGGAAATCTTCACACCTATTTTCTCTGTTAATGGATGGGGAGGAGAGGAAATTGCTGTGAAACTGGAAAACTATTTTGGGCGTTTTGGTATTTTGAGGACACAAGTTAGTGAAGGGTCTGGATTTCAAAGAGCCAGTACTACATCTCCGAGGTGTTGGAGCCAGTTGTCCTTCCTTACCTTCAGAGCTTGCCCACAGCCATATTTCAACAGGATAATGCCTGACCACACACGGCACGCATTGCCAAGGGTTCTTCGTCAATCGCCAGATTGCTTCCCTGGCAGCTCGCTCTCCGGATCTTTCGCCGATAGAAAACATGTGGTCCATGGTTGCTGAACAATTGACCCAGATTACATCCCACGCTGCCACACCAGGCAACGTGTGGAAGCTGCTTAGTCTGCTGTACCCCAAGAATACATCCAAAGTCTCTTTGAATCAATGCTGAGGCGTGTGGCAGCGGTATCTCCAACAATGGCGGCTACTCTGGCTACTGATTCTGGAAGGAACCACACTTCACAGAAGTCTATAAATTTAATCATTTGATACGAGGTCAACATGTTATATACTAAATAAATTTCGTTGTGATATCTCTTGTCTTTCTTGGTGTTGCAATTTGGGTGGCCAGCAGTGTACATGTGCTTTGTTAACTTAAAACTAACCTCTTTTTATAGTGCTTCTGTATGACTTTATTACTGTAAATTATTTGCATATATACTGCTATGCTAATCATTTGAATGTACACTGCGAAAAAAAATAAAGGGGCACAGTTCTATATCTCCCGTTCTACTGCACCGATTGACAAAATTCAAATTGCATTTTTCATGTCTCGAAAGCACAACTCAAAGATATATATTATATTTATATATAGCATTGTTCTAACATAAGTATTTTGACACAAAATCAACCTTTTCTGAAATAATATACCA